CCCCGCCCCCCCCCCCCCCAGCCTCACCAGCCTCCTGCCCAGCACCACCCACCCACCCACCACCCACAGCCCCACCATGACCCACAGCCCCGCAACCCCACAGCCCCGCCTGCCCCACACAGCCCCGGCGCTCCTGCTCCTCCTCACCGCTCTGCCCACCGCCCTCGCCTGCCACCACCTGCGCACCCGACACCCCACCTTCCCCTGGGACACCCTCCAGCTCCTCCACGCCATGGCTCCCAGCCCACCACAGCCCTGCCAGCACCACCACCACCCGCCCTTCTTCCCCGACACCCTCCTCCAACACACCCCCCCGCACCAAGCCGCCCGCACCGCCCTCCGCATCCTACAACACCTCTTCCACACCCTCAGCAGCCCCAACACCCCCCACCACTGGCACGCCCACGCACGACACCACCTCCTCAACAGCCTCCAGCACCACATCCACCGCCTGCAGCGCTGCCTGACGGACAACGCCACGCTCTCCCCAGGACAAGGGCCCCAACACCTCAGCCTCAACATCACCAGATACTCCCGCGACATCCGGCACTTCCTCCGCGCCCACGGCCACAGCGCCTGCGCCTGGGACCACGTCCTCCTTGAAGCTCGCAGCTGCTTGCGACACGTGGACACGCTCCTGCGGCAAACCCAGAGCCAAGCTGCTCCTGCCCTCCAACCACACCAGCCGCGCCCCACGCCCGGCCCCAGCCCAGCCTGGCACCCACAGCTCCAGCACAGCCCGCAGCAGCCCGGCCTGGCAGCGCTCAGCCCGGCTCACACCTCTTCCAGCCAGGAGCCCGCGCCCACGGGGACGTGGCCATGAGCGCGGCCAGCCCGGGGCCAGCCTGCGCCACAGCCTGCGCACCCACCCCGCGCCCGCACCTCGCCTGGACACGAACGACCACGACATTGCTGTGCTGCGCGCTCGGGGACAGCCGGGAGGCCCTGGGGACAGCCATGCCATTGGTTACCCACGCTGACACCCAGCCCAGCCACACTGGCACCTCCTCTGGTGGAGGGGAAGGTCCCCAAGGACACTGCTGGTCTCTCACTCCAAGGAC